AGTCCCTGCCTGTCACTGTGGAGACCCGGTGGAGGGGAAGAAAGGGAAGCACCGGGCAGGCGGGCGGGCGGGCGGGTGGGAGCTGAGGCGGAAGAGAGGACCTCCTTCCATCTCTCCTCACACGCCAGACCCGGCTTGACGCCACGAGAGGAGGCCCCTGTTGGTGGTTAATTGTGGGGGGTGGGCACACCCCAGCTTCCTGAGGCGCAGTCTCCTGCTCTCTGGCTGGTTCACTGAGGCCCAGTCGGCCAGGGCTCCAGTGCAATGAGATTTCAACCCACATTTATATCATTAAAGCTAACGACGGCAGGACAGCGGCTTCCAGGAAAGCGTGGCGGCGTTGCAAGGCCGTGGCCTGGTGCCGTGTGAGAACCCAGAGTCCCCCAAGGTGAGCAGGAATGGGGGGACAAGAATCAGAAAGCAGACGGCGGGGGTGGGAACCTGGTCCAGATTCGAGTCCTGTGCAGCCTCTTGGGTACAGAGGCAGTTCAAATCTCATGACACACTAGAACTGTCCGAGTGTTGTCTACACCAGGACTCTGTAGTCTTATACATGCCTATATTTAGAGCGCTGGGGGCTGGGAAAACACAAGTACCCATGCTCAAGAGTTTGGGGATGAAGACAAGTTACCAGAGGACTTCGTGGATCACAGAGTGAACCAGCCATCAACCCAGGTTCCTCAGCCTCCCAGGTACAAGCGAGGGAAGTTTAGTATCCACCACCCTCTCCACCCTCCCGTCCTGCCCAGCAGGACACAGGCAGCACCCTTGACCTTTCTAAGTCCTCCCCTGTCTCTGCCACCCCTGTGGCCCCGATTGGGACGAACCCCAAGCCTGCCTCGCAGGACGGGAGGTACAGGCCTTCTTACCACAGTGTAAATGACTCCATATGGCTGCACTGACTCTCCACCCACCCCACCCCGGAAGCATCCGACATCAGTCAATGCTTCAGGACAAGGGGGCTAAAAACTTCTGCACAGAATTTCACCTATCCTTCCTATGTGCTTCAAGGTACCCAGAGACCCCCCCCCTTCTGTGCCCTCCCCCAATGCAAAAGGTACACATCACCCAAGAGCCCAAAGGAAATGGGACCTTGTCTCAGTGTTCAGCCTGGTTCTGGGTATACCATAGGTACTCAATAAGTAAATCAGCAGCAATGAGTTTTGGGCAAAAGAGGGATCTGCCTGCAGCAGATCTGAGACCAGAGCCAAATCCCACCAACCCCACCAATGACTCATCACAATCAACAAGCACTAATGGAGCACCTACTGCATACATGCCTCTGCCTAGAACATAGACCAAAGGCAGCTCCCAGACTGAACCATCCATTAGTTGATCAACAAACATTTCGCCGAGCAACTGATTGATTCATTTTATTCAGCCATTTGGTGATGAGCCCCTGCTGGGTTCACCCTGACAGCCTAGCCCTTAAGGGCCTCACCATGTAGCATCTTAAGCCCCCGAGGAAGGAACACCAGGCTAGGTAAAAGAACTCCTAGCAGGAAGAAAAGCGAAAGCCCATGCACGTCCTGAGCTTATAGGATGGGATGACTCAGCAAAACCTCCAGGGGCCCTGGAGCTGTGGGAAACTTAGACCTTGTTTGCAGGCAGCAGATTTTCTCGAACCCTCCCTAGGGCCACCCTGCACGATGATGACCTGGGACTTGCTTGGAATGTCCCCAGCCTGGCAGAAGAAGGTCCCTGCGTCCACTTCACAGATGGGGAAACTGAGGCCTCAGATATTCCCCCCCAGCAAGCCTGTCTGCTCCCTCCTGGGTCTCACAGCTGTGTCCTGGACCCAGGGGTCCTTCTAGGCTCCCCTCACACCCAGCCTTGCCTCAGTGTGAGCGGTGCTGCTGTCACTGATGCCAGCAGCTGGTTCTCCTCACTCCCCCCAACCCCCACCCCCCTCCCCCATCCCTCAGCCAGGGCCATTTACTGCACTTATTCCTTGTCTGCCTGGGGACTGAGCACCTGGCATGCATTAACTCTTCACTGTCCTTAATACTGTCACCACCACCCCATTCTTCAGATGAGGTAAGTGAAGTCCAGGGACATGCAACCGGGCACGCGTGTGCACGCAGAAAGTGCTAGAACCAAGATCTCAGCTCAAATGATCTATCTCCAGAGTGGTCTTAACTATGATACTGTTTCACCTTAACAGAGGAAAAACGGAGGCTCAGAGAGGTTAAAGACCTGCCTGAGGTCACACAGCCCCAGCACCCACACTGCAGGTCCCGACTGGCAGGCAGGCGGGCAGGCGGGCGGGCGACAGGAATGATGGGCTGTATCTGCAGTATCCCCTCCTCCTCCTCCGAGCACATGAGCCTCTCCATCCTGGGTGGCAGCTGAATAATTTAGACGCTTCAGCTCCTGCCCACCACTCCTGGGTCCCGGGTTTATTTTTATCCAAGTTCAGCCAACAGCTCCTAACAGAAATAACCCCCACCACCTCAACTCCAGTTTGTCTGCCTGGAGGACCACCCTGCCCCCGGGCCCTTGCAGGAAAAAGACAGAACCATATGTTGGCTGGGGGTGGGGGCAGCAGTGGGCATGGGGGGGGACAGAAAGCCACTGTCTGTGAGCAATACAGAAAAGGGATAGGGTTAATAAAGACTCTCATGGCCTATATATGCCATGTCTTACAAGCCACTACCGCCCACCCCAGCAGCCACCCACCCCAAACACACACCAGACACAGTGGCTGAGTGAAAAGGGGCAGCAGGAGCTTCTGGGACCCACATCCCTCCACCCTGGTGGGGCTGTGGAAGCCCCATCTACAAGGATTATCCATATCTGCCTCCAGGGCTCAGTTTCCCAATCCAGTGCAGGTTTGGAGGGGTGATGATGAAGGTATCTCTTCCATACACCAGGCTAGGGATGGGAAGTGGGGGCTGCCGGGATATAGGGGTAGGTAAGAAGATGCCTTGATCTCCATGAAGGTGGATTCCAACAGGGCTCGGCCATGGCTTGCTGCGTGTGGTCTATGGAAAAGGCACTTTGCCTCTCCGGGCCCCCTTGAAAGTTGGGGTGAGAGAAAAACACTGACTCCCCCTAAAAGTATGGCCAACCCTGCCACAGCAGCAGCAGCAGCAGCTGCTGTCGTGAGGATCAGGGGATCTGGAGGGAGCCTTGGTCACTCAGAGCAGCTGACACCTTGTACAGATGGAGAAACTGAGGCCCAGAAGGGGGAGAGAAGCCCTGAGACTCAAGTGCCTTGATTTAAGTCCAAGAATCTTTCTGGAAGGTTCTCTCCGCTTCTCTCCCTGGTGCACCCCAATGCACCACTTCTGATGTGACAGAGAGGAGGCAGGCTCCTGGCTCTCAGCCACCCCCAAGGAGGTGAGGAGGCAGGGAGACGGCCTGGGAGCTGTCTGGACACCCCCAGGCCTGGGCTGGTCCAAGGGGTTGTCCTGTGCTGCAGGATTGGGAACTAGAAGGTGACTGGGGATATGTCCCGCAGTAGCTGTGACACTTCCCTGGGGGTCCCTTGATAATCCTCTAAGCCCCACAGCCTCCCCACAGCCCAGCAGTTGAAGGGTTCATGTTCAGTACAGCAGTGGACCTCAACAGTACCCTGCTCCAATGTCCAGCCACAGTCCATTCTAACCAGAGAATATGAAAGTCCAGTATTTAAAGTATCGCTGATGGCAAGCCTGCAGCTTCTCATTCAAGCCCAATTTCTTCGTTTTCTATTCATACTTACAGTCTCCCAGGGAGGCAACTTCCTCAAGGTCACCCAGATGGGAAGCCAGGACTCAGGGGACCATAACCTTGGCACTAACCACCAAGCCACCTACACTCTCCTCCTGTGTCCTGACCCTGAGCTCCCTGGCCTCTCTTGGCTCTAGAGCTGGGTGACCCTCCTGACATTTCCAGCTTCCTGGTCCCTGGGGCTAACCTCATCTCCTTTCCGCGTCCTAGGATCCAACTTCCTGAAGAAATTCCAGTGGATAGAGACGGCTGAGGTGGCCTCTGAGTGGAACACAGTGCTAAAAATAAAGACTTCCATTTCCCCCCAAAAAAGGTAGAAGCAATTAAAGCAGAAAGCAAAGCGGAATCCTCTCCCACAGATCGCAGATTACTGGCAAAGCATTTTAAAATTAAAGACGAGCTTTAGGATTGAGTGGTGAGGGGCCTGGGCTTCCCGCTCACTAAGAGGATAGGCCCATTGGGATGTCAGAGAAAGAAACTGCTGTGTGTGTGTGTGGGGGGGGACAGCTTGTCCTGGAACTGAGGACCTAGGATTGGAATGTCCTGTCCCCCTTCTCGGTGGTGAGATGGGTTCAGTGACAGAGTCCGTGTGTCACAGCCACACACATACCCCCATCCAGTCTCTTACAGGTGACACCACCTGTAAAAATAAAGCACCCTTAGCTCGTCGGGCAGGTGACGGCTTGATCATTCATTGCCAAGAGACAAGGTGGCGCTTTCACGGATCCCTGCTCTCCCATCTCAGGACAGCTGAGCCTGCAGAACCCACCACAATTCAATTACCCAGCGGGCCCTGGCAGACAGCCCTGTCTGAGCCCCATCCTAAGCAAACGCTGGCCCAGGATGCCTGCCCAAGCAAGGGTTAACTTTCCAGTCTCAGGTGACTCTCTCCCAACCAGGGTCAAGGTGCCCACCCGCCGAATCAGAACACCCAGAGGGCCCCCTGTGCCCGACCGGCCAGGAAGGGTTAACTTCAGGAGCTGCCAATCACTTTCCCCGGCTTTTGCTGCAAAGAGGGCAAGCCAGGCAGAAGCCACTCTCCTTGCTCACGCTGCCTGAACAGGCACACATTTGCCCCCTCCCTGGGCACTGAGCTAAAATCCCATTTGTCTCTGGAGTGTCGCTCTATTGATAAAAACCCTGCAGAATGCAGGCAAAGAACTATGGCCATTTCTTGACAGCCCTACCTTTCCCACTCCCCTCTCCTCCAGCTCATGCATACACATGTCAGTTAGGGTACTGAGATCTCCTAGTCTGTTTGCACAACCAGGAAGAATATCACTCACCAGGACAGTAGAGAATTGCCACAGAATGAGTGAGCCAAATTCTTGCCAACTCCTTGCCTTCCCTGCCGGTGGGGAGATGTTAAGTCCTGGCGACTTGGCTTGAAAGATCAGCAGACGTGCCTGAAAGAAAAATTGTGCATTTTATTCTCCTGGTCTTCCCAAAATAAAATCAAGGCATCAGCATGCACACATGCCCCTAAACCATGCAAAACCAAGACAAAAAGAAATACCCCCGGCAGAGACGAAAACTAAGTGCAGTTGGAGTCCGCAGACGGTGGGCAGTGATTCGCTCAGACTACTCCACATGGACGGGAGGTTTTATAAGTCTCTCTCTCTCTCTCTCTCTCTCTCTCTCTCTCTCTCTCTCTCTCTCTCTCTCTCTCTCTCTCTCTCTCTCTCTCTCTCTCTCTCTCTCTCCTCTCCCCCTTTCGGGGCAGCGTAGGCAACTCTGGGCTGCGGGCAGTAGAGGAATCAACTGCTTCCCCGGTGCCCAATCCGGCTGTCACCACTACTGCAAAAACCCTGTGTGATCCAGAGGGAGGGGCAGCCGCTTCGCTTCCTGGAGCAGGAGAGCCAAGCCTGCCTCCCACCGCGTTGCATTGTGCCGCCGCGTTGGTTGCGGGAGGAGAGGTGGGAGGCCAGGAGGGGAGGCTGGGCATCCCAGAATGCTCGGGATTGGCGGTCAGCACCACGGACAGCACCAGGACGCAAGCGAAGGGGAAGGGCAGCCACCAACCCCAGACAGAAGAGCGGAAGTTATTGGATGGCTGGGAGAAGGGGGAGGCCAGAACAGAGGCACAAGGATCATTCGGTCGGACTGCATACGGGCCCACCTCACTGAACACTTATGCTAATATTGCCCAATGAGCTGTAACTTCTCAGCCCCTCTCCCCTCAACAACCCCTGGCCTACACTGGTCTCTGTGTAAGTGTCCTCCTGTGGCTTCCAAAATCATTCACATTGCCACTGAAGTCTGCACCTCAGGCTCAGAAGATAGCAAGAAAAACAAAATAGGAAAGGAGGGGTACTTTAGGGGGAGGATGATTTGGTTAAACAGTCCCCATGAAACCTTAGGAACGTCACTTAATGTTTCCATGTCCTGTCGGCAAAATGAAGACATGACTACCTACCTCATTTTCCTAACGACAAGAAGAATGAGGCTAAGCAATCGGAATGCCCACGCTAGGGGCTGCTATGCTTCCAAGATCTCTAACCCACCCTATGATTCAAATGTTTTGACGGAGATAAAGCAGTTGACAGCCAACCAGGATGGCACGTGCCAACCTGCAGCATGTGGTTTGAGTGGGATGAAGCTGGGAATTCTGGGAGTTCCAGAGCAGACACGATCCTCTGCCAAAAACCCATCTCCCCAAACCAGACTGGCTTTCTAAGGTAAAGTCACTACAGACAGGAAATAAATCAGCGGTTGGGGGGCGGGGGAGGTATATACAATGGGAACATGTTCCCATGGCACCTGCATCCCAACTCCCAAGAGTTCTGCTCTTGCCAGATATGAGAAAGTGCTCGTGCTGGAGAAAGAACGGGAGAGCACAAACAAGCCAAGAGCTACTTAGAACCTCCCAGCAGAGCGAGGGAGGTCCCTCTCTCCATTGGAGACACATGTAAAGTCTCCCATCAATGGCAGGGTGAGTCACTGCATTTGCCACTAAATTCTCCCTTTGAGAGCTAGGATCCAGACTGTTGGGATCTGAGAGGCCATCTGGAGCTTGGCTCCTCTACAGATGATCATTACGGTGGTGTTGATGATGGTAGAGGTGGACTGGGTGCTGACAGCAGTGCATTGATGATGGCGATGGCGATGGCATGATGATGATGATAACTGTGATGGTGTTGATGATGATGGTAACGTTGATGATGGTGGCAATGATGTTGGCAATGACTACGGTGGTGGTGGTGGTGGTGGTGATAATGATTACGACATTGATTGTGATAGTTACGGTCATGTCCACTATTAAGAGCCTGCTATGGCTGGGTGGTGATAGCACATGCCTGCAAATCCCAGCACTTGGAAGGCAGAGGCAGGCGGATCTCTGAGTCTGAGGCCAGCCTGGTCTACACAGTGAGTTCCAGGATGGTTAGGGCTACACAGAGAAACCCAAAAAACAAAGAAAAAGAGAAAGAAAGAAAGAAAGAAAGAAAGAAAGAAAGAAAGAAAGAAAGGAAGGAAGGAAGGAAGGAAGGAAGGAAGGAAGGAAGGAAGAAGGAAGGAAGGAAGGAAGGAAGGAAGGAAGGAAGGAAGGAAGAAAGAAAGAAAGAAAGAAAGAAAGAAAGAAAGAAAGAAAGAAAGAAAGAAAGAAAGAAAGAAGGAAAGAAAGAAAGGAAGGAAGAAGAAGAAAGAAAGAAAGAAAGAAAGAAAGAAAGAAAGAAAGAAAGAAAGAAAGAAAGAAGAAAGGAACCTGATATGTTCTTCATGTGACATCTGGGGTCCTCTGTGCCCCCTCTGAGGCTGCTGTTATTCTCACTATAGAAACAAGGAAGTTGAGATTTAAGAAATTCAATTCCTGGCTCAGGGATACATAGTGACAGTCACAGGAATCAGACCCAAGGTTGTGATTCCAAAGCATGCCCACTGGGACATCTGTCCTGCGGGACCACTCAATGGTACCCTTCAATTTGGAGGCAAGACTTCACTGAGTATTTTCTTAGAAGAGACTACGGCATAAATCCATTCCTCTCACTTCACAGATGGAGAAACTGAGGACCCAGGAGGTTGGAGAGTCTTTCTAGTCAAAGACCTTGCAAGCAGAATGGAAGACAACTGGGAGCATTTGGATGGCAGAGTCTATGTTCTCAAACCTAGACAAGCCCAGCACATAGTAAGCCCTCAACAAACATTCGAACAACCACTCAAGAAACTCACAGATTGACAAAAGTCACGCTGGGTGCTGTTGATGCAACAGCACCCAAATATCTCCCAGGAGTCTTGGTCCCTGGATCCTGAGGAGTTCCTCCGCCAGTATGGCTTCCTTGGCCATGAGGCATGCATTCTGGGAGGACCTGTCTCAGAGTCAGCTCTCTCTTTAGGAAGAAACAGGACCACCAAATACCAATGCCAAGACACTTACTGTGGGTCCAGTCCAGCCACAGTTCCTGTCTTATGTCTTCATAATGACATGAGGTGGGTTAAACTGTCCAGCTACAAATGAGAAACCCAGACGGGGAGAGTGAAGCCCCAAACCCACACAACCAGGGAGCAGCTGACAGGAGAGAATGTCTGTCTGTCAACATCTGTGTCTTTATCGCCCTTTCTCCAGTCAGGTCCTCTAAACCTCCCAGGCATAGGTAAAGGAGGCCTGGACTGCTAACCCTCCACACCTACCCCAAAGAGTCTGGTTTTAACTGGGTGCTTCTAGCTACTTTTGTATGCTGGGCTCCTGCCCAAGCATCACTAAAACAGGGTTCTGTCACAGAATTTTAAAAGTAACACGGTTAAGCATCAGCTCGGCACCCTCCCGGATGTCTGCCCTCTAGGAATACGCATCAGCTTCTCAGGGGGACTCACCCACCTTCCCAGCTCCCTGCTCAGTCTCCAGCCCCCTCTTCTGCCCCAAGTGCGCTAAGAAGCCATTCAGAGCCAGCAGCTGCTATGAGCTCTGACAGCCACTGCAGTGAGGAGCCGCCTTGAAACCAGATTCCTCGAGGCTGCTCCCTCAGGCTTCATTCAAGCCAGCGCTTGCAAAAGAGCATCCCAAGGGGCTGGGTGCAGCAACCAGCTGCCTTATCCTGCTTTTGTACATTCTAGTGTATAGCCAGTTAGGACCATCAGCCATCCCCAGCAGGACGGACCATGATGGCTACAAGTGAGCTCAGAGCACTTTCAGGCTCTTCCCGGGCTCCATATTGTTATTATTTCTCTCTCTCTCTCTCTCTCTCTCTCTCTCTCTCTCTCTCTCTGTGTGTGTGTGTGTGTGTGTGTGTGTGTGTGTGTGTGTGTGTGTGTGTGTGTGCAAGCATGTGTACGTGCTTTCTAGTTTCATCTCTACGGCTGTGATACAACACCCTGACCAAAGGCAATTTGAGTGGGGGAGGGGCTAGAGAGAGAGTTCAACAAGCACTCACTGCTCCGGCCAAGGACCAGGGTTTGACTCCCAGCACCCACACGCAAGCTCACAACCGTCTGTAACCTCAGCTCCATCGGATCTACTGGCTCTTCTGGCGTCAGGCACACACGTGGTACACAGACATACATGTGGGCACTTAACAGGCATGCATAAAAATAAATGTTGTTGTTGTTGTTGTTGTTTTAAAGAAAGCAACTTAGGGGAGGAAGTGGATTGATTCCAACTTACAGTCAGTCCATCATCAAGAGAAGCCAGGGCGGGAACTCGAAGCAGGGACTTTGGAGAACGCTGCCAACCAGCTCACTTGCAGGCTTATCTCAGCTGGTTTCCTCATACAACCCGAGCCCAGCTGCCCAGAGAATGATGCCGCCCACAGTTGAGCTAGCCCCTCCTACATCAATGAGCAATCAAGAAAACGCCCCACAGATGTGCCCACAGGCCAATCTGATAACAATTACTCAGCTGAAACTCTTTCTTCCAGGTGATTCGAGGTTCATGGTAAACATGGCAGTGTACGTGTGGTATATAGGTACATGTATGTTTAGGCTCCTGCACACCAGAGGCCAAGGGACAATGTTGGTGACCTGCTCTATCACTCTCTGCCTTTTGGGGAGGTGGAGGGGCCAATGAACACAGCCCAGTGAAGTATACCCACCGGGTTGGTCCCTGTCTCCCCAGCCTCTCCCGCTTCAAATCGCTTTCGGTCAGAGTGTTGTATCACAGCAGTAGAGATGAAACTAGAAAGCACAAGCACATGCATGTATACACACACACACGCACACGCACACACACACACACACACACACACACACAGAGTATAATAACAATATGGAGCCTGGGAAGAGCCTGGGGTGCTAAAGAGCCCATTTATAGCCACTCTACTCTTCTGGCGCCAGTCTCGGTGAACCTGGAGTTAAGATCATAGCCAGCAAGCTCCCGTGAGCCTCTTGTCTCCTCCCTTCCCGTGCCGTGGTTACAGATATTTTATGTGGGCACCGGGGACCTGAACTCAGGTCCTCACGGCTTAAGCAGCAAGCTTCTTACCCACTGAGCCATCTCCCCAGCCCCCTCACCCTCAAGAAGCTGGAAAGGTGAGACATCCCCAGACCTCCAGGGGCCGTGCAGCCCAGTAGGTATATCTTCACTGAAGGACCCCTGACCCGGAACTGCAAGCTCTCATATCTGTGGCATTTTAAATGGCTAAGCCTGTGATCATTTTCTCACAGCAGCCACAAGCAACCCATTCAGCGAGAGTGCTGGAGGCCCGAACCGGCCTGGGGAGTTAAGACTGAACTGAGTGCCCTCTTGGTTGAAGGGCATGGTGACCCGATCACATCAAACTGTTCTGAAGGATACAGCCTGGGTGCATGGGGATGGGCAGGCAAGAGACCCTACACCAGAAAGGCCTCCATCCCCCCTGGGCTGTGTTCATTGGCCCCTCCACCTCCCCACTCCAGAGAGAGGCTTTTGGTAGGACAAGGAGGGGGCAAAGCATCAGCCACAGGCTCCTGATGGAAGATCAGAGACAAAACAAGAAAAGGAAGCAGAGAGGC